CCGCCCTCGCCGCCCTCGAGTGTTCTAGTAGGTACTAGACTCGAGTCGGCTACTGTTAGTATTAGCTGTCCGCTATACCGGTTTCTAATATTAGTGTTAGCTGTCCGCTATACTAGTACAATACGGGCGCGCCTGTCGGCGGCCTCGTTATACCCTCGGGATAAGTTAATAGTCTCTTTCTATATTATCGCCGTCGCTATCCGTAATAGCTCCCTCTACAACTACTAACGCTTATATAAGCAACATCCCTAAGCTAAAGAATAAGGAGAATTATCCAGTATAGGCCTATGCCGCTAAAGGCGCCCTTAAAGGTATATCGGTCTAGCGCTATATGTAAGGCACCCGCTAGCGACCCCTTTCTAAGGCCTCTAGTAAGTCTTCTAAGGAGTTTGAAGACCGCTAAGATAAATAGGACTCTAAAGATCAAACAGCGCGTACCTAGATCTTTGCTAATTATATTAGTAATATTCAACAATTACTGCTTAGTCTGTCTATATCCTAGGAAGTATAGGACTTCCTTAAGAAGAAATATACTAGTAAAGGTAGGTCTACTAAATTCATGCTCTACTAGGAATATATCACCCTTCGGTATAATAGTAAGGACATTAAGAAGTTCTATAATAAGTATAAGAAGAAGCTTAGTGCCTTAAAGGATACTAAATTGGCTATTAGCTAATATTAGGCTGTCTATATGTTTATTATACAGATCGCACTATTCTACGAGGCATTCGTACAGATACGCCGTAAGTAGATACGCGCCTTAGAATATACTATTAATAACAACACCCTTAACAACATTATTAGCGCGTTGCTTAATAAGAATATAGCTCAATTGAACTAGGCCTAATATAATAGCTTCTTTGGTCTTTAGCGCTAACTATAACAGCAAGGTAGCAATAGCAATAATAATAGCGGTCGAGGTAACTCGAACCGTAGCGGTCGTAGTAGCCGCGGAAATAGTAACAATAGTCGTAGCCGCGGTGGAAGCAACTAGAATAGTTATTAGTCTAACCGTAAGAAGTGCGCCTATTGTTAGGGGTTATACCCTTCTAACCGCTACTACACTAAGTACTCTTACCTAAAGGAGGAAGACCGTCTTCGTCGCGAGAAGCAGAAGGCTAAGAAGCAGTAATAGTAGCAGCGTAGACTAACTGCGCAGCAACAACAGCCGCTATCTAGTTAGAATAGTACCTAGGGCCTATATGCGGCTAATGCTACCCCGGGGGTGTTATTAGACCTAAGCTACAATTACGCCTTTACTATAAACACTATAGTTACTGTTAGCGACTAGGTTTCTACGGCTCTCACTGCTAGCACTCGTACTACTAATTAGGTTGTCGACTTAGGTACTAGTATATATATAGTTAACGACCCTTTATTACTTATTAAATATAAAGGCCATTATATTCCTATCCGGTTTAGTAGCAATACGAAGCACGCTACGATAGTTAGCATAGCTTAGACTAAGGTTGTTAATAAGCGTAGTATAAGTAGCATAAAGCTATCTAATACACTATATGTTCTAGGTCTAGTAGCTAACCTTCTGTCTACTAAGAAGCTTACCGACAAGGGCTGTTTCTATCGGAATAATAAGCGAGTACTATTTACTGTTGTTAACGGCTCTGAGGTTACTGTTGCTTAGATATACCGAAAGAATAGTCTCCCCTATTTGCATACGCCTACCTCTAGTCCTAAGGGTCAGGTTGTTGCTCTTCTATCGAAGAAGGGGGTACCGACAGGTACGATAGAAGAGTGGTATCTACGATATAGCTATATCTATTACCGCAAGCTGTTACGAATAGAAGCTAAGGGTCAGATTGTTATTACTAGAAACAAGACCGACTTCCGAAACTGTATCGCTTGTCGTATAGCAACGTTACATAAGGAATACAACCGACTGCTACGACTGCGACTATCTACTATTTACTATATTGTCTGTATGGATGTGGTTACTATTACTAACCCTAGTCTACTGCAAGAACGCTACTTTACGTTGTTTATATGCGCTAAATTAGCCTATCGATACGAATATGCTAGCTTACTAAAGTTAGGGGCTGCAGCAGCAATTAAGGACTACCGTATACACGTCCGTACACAAACCAGCTGTTCGATCCTAATCTACCGCCTCGATAGAGGGGGTAAATACAGCGGAAACTAGCTATTAAGCTAGGCTCGTAATCAAGGCATTGTACTACAGGTTATAGCGCCTTATTCTTCTACTTAGAACGGACTTGCTAAGGTTAGCAATTATATTGTATATACGACAGCTCGGAAGATAATGCTCTACGCTAATTTGCTAAAGGCCCTATAGCTATATACAGTTACTACTGCTATACAGGTCCTTAATATTACTCCTAGAACCTTGGAAGGTCTTAGCCCCTATGCTATTATAGCTAGGGAGCTTAATTAGTCTCGGAAGCAGCTACGCCTTTAACATCTTCGTGCCTATAGCTATACTGCTATTGCATACGATTACGAAGTTGCTCGTAGAAAGAAGATAGATAGCAGAGGTCTTATTAGCAAACTAGTTGGCTATACTAAGGGCTTAGTAGACTTAGGAAAATATATAATTTATCTTCCTAACTAGTATAAGGTTATTGCTTCTAAGGATATCAAGTTTATTAAGTTAGGGGAGTTGTCGCTTCTAGAGGGCATAATACTATACGCTAATCCTAATAACCTAGCTAAGAACGAGTTTGTTACACTCGAGTCTATTATGCCGGCTCTATTTAATTCTATAAGTAACGAGGCACCGTCGCTATAGGAAGCCGCTAGTGTAGTCTAGCAGCTTCTAGCCTAGTAAGAAGAGCCTCCGGACGAGCCTGCTTAAGATATAGAGGTAACTAATAAGGTCGCTAGTCCGTTGCTACTCGACGATGACCTACTAGACGTTCAACTACTAGCTTTAAGTAATGAAGATAGCTTTTAGTTAGCCGAGGAAGAGCTAGTATATAATCCAAACGCTAAGAAGGGCGAGCCTAGCTAGCTGCCTAAGTTTAAGCGACTAGACAACGTTAGTAGTCGTTCTATACGCAAGATACGAAGCAACAAGAGCGCTCGTAAGCTGTTACGTAGCTATCTAGCCGATTGTAGTATTAAGCGGTTAACTCGACGTATAATAGCTAATATGCCGATAGCCTATATTAAGGGCTTTATAGCCTCCTGCTACATTGCTAAGCAGTCCGACAAGCCTAAAGAAACCATCCCTATTCCGAAGAGTTACAAGGAAGCATCTTAGTCGCTATATTAGCTATAGTAGAAGGAAGCTTGCGAGGCTAAATACAAGTTACTAATTAACAACTATATATAGGTTTATATATCTCGGTTAGAGGTGCTAGAAGGCAGGAAGGTTGTTCGTAGTCGTTAGGTCTTTACTATCAAGCGAGACGCTAATAGAAATATAAGCCGGTTTAAGGCTCGTTAGGTTGTTCGTAGCTTTACGTAGGTTGAAGGCTAGGATTACGACGAGACCTATGCGGCTGTCGCTAAGCTATCTACGCTGCGGGCCCTATTCGGCCTAATCGCTTATTACGACCTAGAAGCTAAGTAGTACGACATTCTAACTGCCTTCCTTAACGTACTTATTAGTAACAAGCACAAGATCTACGTTGAACAGCTATACGGCTTTAAAGACCGTAGTAGCAAGGGCATAGTTTGCCTATTACTAAAGGCACTGTATAGTCTAAAGCAGTTACTAATGCTATAGTATAAAGAGCTTCGGAAGTACTTAAAGAGCCTAGACTTTATTCTAATAATGTCCGACGTCTGTGTATTTAAGTACGTTGTTAGCGGCTCTATTATTGTTATCTACGTAGATAATATAATTATTATCGCCTATACTCTATTAGCACTAGAGGCAGTAGCTTAGTTGCTAAAGGACCGTTTTAATATGCGAGAGCTAGGCGACCTTTACTACTATCTCGGTATGCGCATTATCCGCGACCGTAATAAGCGCACTATCTACGTCGTTTAGGACGCCTACTTAAATAGGCTCTGCGAGAAGTATAGTATACGTGGCCGTATCGGTCTAGCTACTCTAATAGCACCTCGCTATATTAAGACGTCTATTTAACGCGCACCTAAGGGCTATATAGCTAGTGCCGCCTTTAAGACTTAGTATTAAGAAGGTGTTAGTAAGGCACTATAGCTAGCTATAATTATACGACCTAATGCTTGCTATACTATAGGCCTATTATTACGATTTATCTCTAACCCTACTAAAGAGCATTATGCCGCGCTCCTTTAGCTAATTAAGTACCTAGTTAGTACCCTTAGTCGTAGTATACGCTTTTAAGGCATATAGAATAATAAGCTCAATTTTGCTAGATACTGTAATGCTTTATAGGCCGACGATTTAGTTATCCGCCGCTCTATAGGCGGCTTCTACTTTACTATTATAGGCGGACCTCTATTGTATAAGTCCGGCCGCTAGATACTCGTTATACTATTATTAACTAAAGCTAAGTATATTCAACTCACTATAGGGGCTAAGGAAGTAGTTGCCTTAGCTCGTTTATTAAAGGAAATTAGCTATAAGGGCTATATTCTTCTAGTTACGCTCTACGAGGACAATTAGTCCGCTATTGCTATTACTAAGTCTACTAGTATTAATAGCCGTACGAAGCATATAGATGCTCGTGTTTACTATATTCGAGAGAAGATTACTAATAGTACTATTGTCGTCTAATAGGTTAGCATATATAATTAGATAGCCGATAGCTTTACTAAGCCGCTTAATAAGATTAAGCACGGCCGCTTTATTAAATAACTAAACCTAGTAGATTGCAAGGCCGCTATTAAGAGCGCTACAAAGCTAGCTGCTAAGTACTAAGAGGAAAGGGCCTTTGTTTGCTTTATCTATATAACCTAAGAGTAGTCTAGTTTGTTTACCTGTTTCTGCTTACCTAATACCCCTTGTTTGCCTTGCTAACAGAATGGCTATTAAGTTGTTTGTTTTATAGCGATATGTACGTGCTAAGGGGGTGACTTGGAGTGTATGCCTAGGTATTAGGGTCCATTACGTACCTAATGCCTAAGGCTGCAACTGCTGCACTCTATCTTCGGACTTCTACATAGATTAGTCCTTCTTCTAATACATCAGTTACATCAAGTCTCCTTGTAGTAGACTGCCATCTCCGAGCAGCTATAGATACATAGTAACAACCAAACAGATATGCAGCTAGAGCGCTAGAGTATCTGTTCCCATCTCACTGCAAACTCGAATGTCCAGCCACATAGATGGATACTCGCGAAAGCAGCAGTTCCGATTGCTAGAACAGCGTGCTGTTTGAGATTGGCTTGTATATCCCGATCGTCCGGTATGCGGTCCAGCGGCCGTTTTTGAAGGCCAGCTTGAAGTATCCATCGTAGAACATGCCTGCTCCATTTGCTTGACATGTATATACGGCCTTCAACGAAGTCCAGTGGTGTGTCCATAAAGGGGTCCTTAGCCGCTTCGCCGGCTCCGCAAAGAATGTCGGCGATGGTTGAGTTTGTGTGTAGCACAATAGGCGTGCGTACATCGAGAGGTTTATTCCACCAAAACCCCAATGTACATAGAGCTGAGCAGGTGAGTGCCAATGTAGACAGTTCAAACGGCGTGATAGGGAGGTGCGTGATTGCACGACCGATCGATTGCACCACCAGCCATCCACACTGGAGGAAAGTCAAGAGTTTGCCAACGCTATCCGCTTTACTTTTGTCCCAAATCTCTCGCCTCGTGGTCTTCGGGATTGATACATAGCCATGCTGAACCAGATAGTGGAGCTGCTTGGCGGTTATTGGAAAGGATTGCGAGTATAGAGGCTGGAGGACGTAGCCACCGCTATCCGCACAGAAGCCGTGGCAGAGCGACCATTGCTTTGTAGTATAGCCAAGCTTTGCGAAATCAGCAACAGATCTCTTCGCAGATGCATATTGGGCACATGCAAAGAGCATCGGGAGCTCTGGGGCAAGTACTCCCAGAATGAGCCATCGCAATTTTCGCCAGAAGACGGTCATCCAGGTGTCAGTCTCAGCAGGGACGTTCAAATGCAGCATCGTCCATAGTGCAAGGAGCAGGGCGGACAGACAACTCCAGAGAATATCGATGGTGCCGCGTTGATTGGGCGCAGACGTCCATCCTAGCCGGACATTGTGCGGGTCGATAAATGTCGCATTCGGTGCTAGGAGGTTACCGGTCATCTTGGTGTTGAAGTCATTGTACTTGACTCGAGATGTCTGAGGGAGGGTGCTATCTATGTGTGACTTCAGTCGCCAAAGCCTTGGGGCATTGCGGCTCGAGACGGCACAATACTCCTAAAGATGGCAGAGACGCCGATGGTGGGCGAGTGGCTTCTGTGACTGGTCAGCCTTGCAGAGAAAGTCCTTCCTCCGCCCCTCGACGGGAAGGGATATGGAGCAGGCTAGGCATGAGGGTCGAGTTGCAAGGGCTACGCCAGCGCCTATCTTGTATCATGCAGTTTCAGTGCCTGCGGCAGATTTCTTGGAGGGATCGAAACCATTGTTATTCGCAGAGCTGATGGCGATGTGTGATGTTCTAGGTACCTAAGCGCGAAGGCGCAGTCGAGCTGTGCCGCACGTGCAGGAAGTCAACGTCGTTTTTCCCCTGCCCCGCATTCGATTCGTGGACTCCAAGTATTTCTGGTTGCAGAGAGGCCGGTCCTGTACCTTACTTACCTATCCTACAAGCGCTTAGACTTGCATCTAGAGGGCACGCATACCCACCAGAAAGCTCCGCAACATGTCAGCCTCCATCCCGACTTCGTCTTTCTGCCTCGTGCCAGCTTTGGTGCTGTACTTGGCTCTGGTCCACAGCCTACGATATCGACGTAGCCATGAAGTGCAACGCAAGTACCCAACTCGAGCTTCCTTGGGCACCATGACTTTGGACGATGCATTCCGGATCCAACTCAGACTCCCGGAACTCGAATTCCCAACTATTTTCTCCGTCTCCGTATTCTTCGCGCTCTTCAAGGTATACTACGATCGTACTCTTGACTGTGGAACCACTTCTGACAAGGACAGACTTATGGAATTCCATCAATATCAAAACTATTGGTCGCAACCGGTCAACTCTCAAATGGAAAGACAGCATCGAAACGAGCTGCAGATACGGGAGTCATCCTTACAGAAGTCGTGCTTCACCACCCTTTGGATCCTCGAGCCATGGACGGAATTGCGCGCATGAACTACCTGCACGGCCTATATCGCAAATCGGGCAAGATCAGCGACGACGACATGCTCTACACTTTGAGCCTTTTTGCTCTCGAGCCAATTCGCTGGACAAAGCAGTTCGAATGGCGACAAGTCAACGACGTCGAGCGATGCGCAATAGGCACATATTGGCGCTACATGGGCGACGCCATGGAAATACCATTTAATTCTTTAAAATCTTACGAAACCGGATGGGCGGATGGATTGCAATTTATCGACGACCTAGCAGAATGGAGTGTGGAATACGAAGCCAAAGCAATGGTACCTGCAGAATCAAACAAGGTCGTGGCGCAAGGCACGATTGATATTGGTCTTTTCAACGTCCCTAAATTCTTGCATGGTGTAGCCCTTTCATTTGTAGCAGCTGTGCTGCAGCCCCATCTACGTCGCGCCATGATGTAAGTTACCTGGAAATCTTGCAGAGCTCCGACTGACGGTTTCCAGGTTCCCAGATCCTCCGGAGTGGGCTATTGCGACCTTTACTACGATCGTCACAGTACGAAAATTCGTACTCCGCCACTTCTTCCTCCCGAGACCATACTTCCTCAGGGATCGATGGTGGAGTGAACATCCGAACACCCACGGACGGATCAATGCCAAGCAATTTATATCGTTGCCTTGGTACATCGAGCCAACATTCGCTGCAAGATGGGGTTACAAAGCCTGGTTGTTACGGCTGATCGGCAGTAAAGTACCCGGTGACGATGGTGATAGCTACGAGCCGAAAGGCTACGTAATCTCAGAGTTGGGGCCGGATTCTTTGCGACACAAAGGCGCTGAACAAATGAAGACAACACGCGATGCCCTAGCGAACGGCACTAGAGTCGGCTGCCCCTTTTCGCGCTGGTAATAGCAGACGAGCTATAATGCCAATTCCTCAGATAGAATGATCGCCCATAGAGTGCAGAACCCATTAGGTTACTGGTTGACCTGATATGTGCCAGGCACGTTTACCAGGTAGCGACAGCGTAGACCTGACCATTGAAAACTTGCACCGCAAAGCCGGCGACTATGGATGAGTGCACTTACACTTTCTCAGTCCCGCAAATCAAAATACAGGTGTTTGATTGGAATCATATGCTTGAATATTGTAGGATAGTTAGTAAAGGCCTCTAGTGTTGCGATGGAGGAAGTTCTAGAAGCTCAGTCGTGGAGAGCCAAGAAGTGGCTGACGTGTGGCAGGGATCGGGCTCAATTCCGAGGATCTGATAGGCATTTATTCACGCATTTATCTGATTCAGATTTCTACTTCGTCCATCCATTCAGCCGGGCAAGGGCAAGGTCGCCAAGGCATACCTATTGAGCCACTGCACTTCATCTCACTCGCTGCAAAAACTCCCTCACAGACAGAGCAGGAAAGCGAGCAGGCGAACACAACCCCGCTGGTGTACCTGCATTGGTGCACTATAGACGGCAGTCAACAAGCTTCCTCGGCTGATGGGAACATCTGTGTCTTCATCATTGTGCATGAATTGGTACTAGGCGTCATGCTTTAAGACCCACGGCCAATCCAGGCGTGATCCTCCGCGCGTGAAACAATCCTTCGAGGCTCTGACCAGAAGTTGGACATGCTTGTCGAAGGAGCCTGGCCTATTCCTGTTCAGATATTGAGCCCCAAATGATGCGTGTGATATGCCGAACTATGGAGGCGTGTACCGTGGATGCGCTTCTTGCAGGCGGAGAAAGAAAAAGGTTACCTGATCATGCATTGCCCGAGCGTACACATTGCTGATACAGTTGTGCAGTGCGACCAGACCTACCCTGCTTGTCAAAGATGTCTGAGCAGAGGCGAGACTTGCCCTGGTGTCGCGGCCACGGCGGACGCAATGTTTCGTCACCAAGTAGCAAACCCCTCAGACAAGTCTGCTGCCAAAAGATCAACGAGCAAACATGAGCCCGCAACTCCGGCTTCGAGTCCTTCACAGGAAATCACGATTATCCCGAGACCTGATTTGGAGTCTAAAATAAGAGAGCATCAGAAACCACCAGCAGCGTTCGCGGGTAAGATAGACGACTTGGTCGAGCCCCCTGATCTGCCACAAACTCTACATCCAAGTCTTGAGAATGTCGCCGAGTTCCACTTCTTTAGCAAGATCGTCACTTCGATTGGATGGCTTTCGTACATTCCGGATGTGTATAGCTCATCGCCTGAACAAAGCCCTCTACGAAAGCTGGTAGGAGCAGCATCGCTTTCTGTGCTCGCGAAGCAGAGAAAAGACGCGTCCCTCTTTGTGACCGCGAGAAATGCGAATGGCATGGCTCTCAGAGCTCTCCACAATGCGATAGGAGACCAAGGACAATACCTGCAAGATGACGTGCTCTTTGCCGTCGGCCTTTGTAGGATCACTTGTATCCTGCAAGGTGACCCGGGAACGACAGCAAGAACACATTCTGTGGGCCTGCAAAAACTCTTACAACAGCGATTGCGAATCTCTGACTCTTCCGAGCCCACAGATGCAATTCTCGAGTTGATCCGAAGCGCCAAGGCAGAGCTTCCTATCCTGCTGCTTCACAATACACGCGACGACATAGCGTTGCAAGGCGATTCAGACGACGACTCTTTCTGGGACTGCTCGGGCATCTGTCAATGCGAGAAGCGAATAGCGCTCCTGTGCTCTGATGTGGGCGACGTTCTCCGCAAGTTTCACTCCACCGCACAGCCGGCTCATTTCGATGTCTGCACCACGCTCACGCAGGCTCTGGATCTGGATGCCAGACTAGTATCGTGGACTGGTGGATTGGCTCCTATTGCTTGGTCTCAGCACCTCGAACACGCTATACGCTCTGGGCTGTGGCCAAGCAGACCAGGATACTTCTCCGACATGCAAGTTGCCACATTCTGGACTCATCTACAAGCAGCACGTATTTTACTCTTGGAATGCATCGTCAGCATGGCGGTCGAGCTGATCAGACAAGGGGAGAGCTACAACTATGCGAAGCTCGATGTTGATGGAATCCTCAGCAAGGCTATCACAACCATAGATGTGATGGCCTATTGGATCTGCTTCTGTATTCCGGTGCATCTTTACAGCGTTGGCAAGGAGGAGGAGCTGATGTTGGACTCCCCAAACGGCGTAGCAGGGGCAGCCGGCATTGTCTGGCCTCTACAAGTAGTTCTGAGTAGCGTGAGCGCCAAAGATCAGTATAAAGACCAGGCTCGAGAAACGCTGGAGAAGCTGAGAGTGGAGTATGGAATTGGCCAGGCCAGGACTACTCTGGAGAACTGCCATCATCTTGGACACTGGTCAACCTTACCTTGAGCTCAGTTAAACAGAGTCAGCGTTTCAAAGAAAAATCTCACCACTTGGCAAAGGTGGGATAGCAACTTCGGAGGCCAGATGCCTTCCAGGCACTATTGGGTGCCGTGACGGAACTGGACCACAAATTTGGGTACACTGGAGCTGAAGCTGCACAGATCAATCTCAGGCTTGAATGAAAGCAAGCGAACCTCTTGGCCCTGTGATGAGAGATGCAGCTTTCCTCAGATGCTTATACAAAGCCCCATGGGTGACCCAAGCGCCGCATCCACGGCTCCTTGTCATGCTGGTGGGACCGCTGTAGTCCCGTGGCCGTTTCTTCGAATCACAGACTGAGTGACTGGATCTCGATCAAGCAATTACAGAGAGCTAGGTGGAATAGATTGAGATATATGGAGGACTCGGAAGTAGAGTGAGCGAATCATCAGACTTATGAGCATGCGGGAAGCGGGACAATTGCATAGACGGATGCATTCGATGGCCAATGAGGGCGGCGAAACCCTGGTAGAGACATGAATTGATAAAGTACGAATCGTTGCTTAAAAGTGGTCTTAGAGGTAAATGTTCGGCGTTCGGCAGAACATTTCTCCGCCAGTGCCAATCTTATCGATACGACTCTCCAAAATCTCCATCTCCACTTTGATTCTTGCGACAACACGTCCTTCGCAGTCATCGCATTCAAAATGTCAGCCATGGACCTCGACAACCAGCGCCCCCAACCATACACCTTCGACCTCGGCCACCTATCCTGCTACGACCCCAACCCTCTTCCCTCCCTCCCCACCAACCCCTCAGAAAAAGAATCCATCCTCCAAACCACCGCGCAATCCTGCGCACAATCCCTCATCCACCAGCTCCTCAAAACCTGCGCCATAACTCGAAACTCAGACGACGGGACCTTACAAATCCAACTCCCGCAACCCGAATACCGTCTCCCAAGGGAGAAACCCGTGCCGAAAGAAAAGGAAAAGACGAAATGGGAAAGGTTTGCGGAGAAGAAGGGGATTAAGAAGAAAGGGAAGGATGGGAAACAGATGTTTGATGAGGAGAGAGGGGAATGGAGGCAAAAGTATGGGTATAAGCCGGGAGAGAAGAGGAGGGGGGAGGTGCAGGGGGATTGGATTGTGGAGGTTGATGAGAAGGCGGAGCGACAGGCGAAGAAGGAGGGGAATGGGAAGGTTAAGGGTAAGTTCGAGTTCATTCGTGAGCAGACAGATCATGGATTTCGGTGGTGGGCTAACGGAGATTTTCAGGTGAGGGCGATATTGCGAGGAGGGATCGCAAGTTGAATAAGAGGAAAGGGAAATGAAGAATTCATGCTGCGTGCGAACGAGAGGCGAAATTTTTACTTGGAGAAAGACAAGACGTCCATGGACTATAAGCTTCGTGCACACGGAGAGGTCAGAAAGTAGGACGATTTGCACTGCTGTCGCTGCATCGATGCACGAAGATACCGAGACTGCAGAACACTTCGAGGTACGGAGGCGAAGCTTCCACAGCAAGCGGGCAGACGAAGAAGTCAAAAATTAGCATTCGACCTTCGACGTCTTTGTCTGCAAGTCGTGGGAACGAGGCTGGCAAAGCATGATCAACGCTAATGCTAGAGATGGAGGTTAGGCACTAGCGTTGTATGGGGATTTACTTGGGATAGAGGTACCGATTGAGCGAGAAATTAACGCGATGTTGCCACAAGATAAGATCAGCCTCTCCCCCTCTTTAACTACATCGATACGATCCCCTAAAACGAGCACGATCACCGAAGTTCGGATGTGAGTCCTTCGAAGTGCCTATATGTCACGCCTGCGCGGTGTCCGTGCCAGAAATCGGGACCTTACACAACATGTGGAGGCTCTCCGGCATCTACTGCCTGGTGTATGAAGCATCTGGGTTTTTCTAGGTGAGGCTGGGCTCACAGTCGATCCCGTCAGGTGTCAAAAACGACCTCATGACAAGCTAACGGCCCTGGCATCCAATATTTGACCGACCTCGCTACATACGTAGTTGCCCGCCTGCTCTTCACAAGGCACAGCTTGGGACTGAACACTGCAGGAAAATGCTCACGTCCATACAGCACAGCACAGGTATCCGAGGCTCTGCCAGACACTCCGCCCCTCGCCGATAGCGGGCGAGAAGTGTCTGAGGAACACCCGGATAATGTTCCATCATCATTCCGAGTATATTTTCATTCTCGGAGCCGAAGCTACGATTCCTTTTCAAGGCTATCCCAACACGCCCGTGTCTCTTCACCTACCTGCAACAAGGACTATGCCTGTACCTCTCCGGAATCTACCATTGATAGGCATATTACAGTGCGATTAAGCGAGATGGCGGACGGCGGTGATCCCTGAAAGCGGGATTTAACTGGTTAAAGCTAGCGTACTGCCTAAAGGAATTGTCCGTACCTTTAAAAAGTTCACGTCTAACGTTTTTAAGCTAGCTGCCGTTTACGGGGATCGCCCCCGTCCGCCATCTCGCTTAATCGCACTGTATCAATGCCATTGACTTGCGGGGTATCTTTGAATGATAAGATGAGACTGCCCGCTGTTCTGAAGGCAGTTGTGATTCCCCACTTCATTCAGAACAGTCTACCCAAACATCAACACAAGAATTCCCACACTATGGCTATCTCGGCTTCTCTCCCGCCTGCCCATGCAACGATTGTTGACGATGAGACCATTGCGCTCGCGAGGCAGCTGGAAGAAATTGGACTATTCATGCAAGGCAGCAAAGGCAAACATCCAATCGGATGCCCACCGGACCTGGAGGTCGCCTTCAAGAGCTTCCAGGACGAGTTGAACTCATACAAATGCTTTCTCGAGGATCAGAGGCTCGCTCAGAGCATCGCTGCGGCTGTGCACGATGACAGCGCTATCATAGCAGAGATGACAGCCAAGGAGCTACAATGTCATCGTGACAGGAGGATGGCTTTTGAGCTGGTCGAAGGAAGCGATGAGTATCAAGTCCCGGTGCACTCTGAGCTTGCAGAGAGTTATCATCATCATGCTGAGGATGACATCCTGTCTACGATTGCCGAAACGGTCACTGCCAACTCGGTCATCGATTTTAGCGATGATGAAGATGAATCTGGTCCTTCTATGACTTTTGCTGAGCGTCAGGCTGAGGTGCTGAAGAGAATGGCAACACAATATGTGTGCAGCGTCTGTCGCGATCGCTATCCTTCTGCACAGACGATCAAAGTCGAATGTGAGCACCGCTACTGCATCGATTGTGCAAAAGGCCTCTTTCGCCGAGCTACCAAGGACGAGACCTTGTTTCCGCCACGCTGCTGCAAGAAGAACATCGATCCCTTGCTTGTTAAGAGACACATGTCAGCTGAAGAAGCCCAGGCCTTCGATGCTGCCGCAGTGGAATTCTCTACTGTCGACAGAGTCTATTGTAGCAACCGTAGCTGTGGAAGATTCGTTCCACCTACTCTGATTGACTCTGGCACGCGAGCGGCCAGATGTGAGCAGTGCGGCATCTACACTTGCGCTATGTGCAAGAATGGGCAGCACCTGAATAAGGACTGTCCGGAAGATCCAGCCCTGCGAGAGACGCGAGCACTAGCGAAGGAGATGGGCTGGCAGACATGTCGTCGATGTCAGACTCTAGTAGAGCATCGCAGTGGATGCAATCACATGACGTAGGTCCAAAAAAAAAAGCTTCGCGGAACTTTTAGTATGAGGACTAATTGAACCCAGATGTCGCTGCCGTGCCCAGTTCTGCTACATCTGCGGAACGCCCTGGAAGAACTGCTCCTGCCCTGTTGCCGACGAGAATCGCATTGAGGAGCGCGCAGAAGAAGTCGTCGATCGTGATGCAGAGCCCGATCTCCCCGTCGCCGTACGAAACCTTCGGGTCCGTCATGTGCAAGCTCAGCTTAGGGAGAGGCATGATTGCGAGCATCCAGGCCGCTTCCAAAGGATTTTTGGCGCTCCGAGAAGAGGCTTTCAATGTGAGGTTTGCGACGCTCGGCATTGGAAATATATCTTGCAGTGTCGACATTGTTATCTTAATGCTTGTGAGGATTGTCGGAGGCATAGGATTTGAGATTGGTAGGGGCTTTCGAAATGTATGTTTGCAGGGGAGCTGCGTTGATACTTAGCGAGGTCTCTCTTTCATGACTTACTCGAGCCTTTCACGTGACCGTAGATGGCCTTTTTTTGGTATAGTAGTCATTGAGTTCACAATCCGTCTATCTGTGAAATTGTGAATGTCTATGAGATGTGAGCATGCACGAAGAGTGCACATGGTTCTACAGAAATGCGCGCTCATAGCGGTTTACAGGATCAAGCATACTGTACTGCTCTCTTCATTGCTGTGATCCAGTATCATCCATGTTCTCCGGCACGGCCTTGACCATGGCCAGTGCCGACTTCCGTCATTAAGAACATGTCGTGATGAGTCGACGAATCTGTGTATGGTGATGGTGGTATAGTATGTACTTGGAGTGTGTGTCCAGGTGTCAGGGTCTATTACGTGCCTGATGCCTGAGGCTGCAACTGCTGCACTTCATCTTCGGACTTCCAGATAGATTAGTCCTTCTTCCTAATTACATCAGTTACATCAAGTGGTTATGAGCCCCCTGCGTTTCTAACGCATTCCACACGTTTTCTGATTGTTAATCCGACTGCTACGTAGCTAGCGCCTGTTACTAATAATTGCGCTAATACCGATATTGTCGCCGCTACCCTTACCGCCGCCCTCGAGTATTCCAGCAGGTGCTAGTCCGACTCGAGTCGGTCATCATCAGTGTTAGCTGTCCGCTATACTAGTATTAGCTGTCCGCTATACTAGAACGTAGGCGCGCCTATCGGCCGCCCCTTAAAACAAGTCTATAGTCTCTTTCTATATCGCCGTCGCTGTCCGCAATAGCTCCCCCTACAACCACTAACGCTTATATAAGCAACATTCCCAAGCTGAAGAACAAGGAGAATTATCTAGTATAGGCCTACGCCGCTAAAGGCGCCCTTAAAGGTATATCGGTCTAGCGCTATATATAAGGCACCCGCTAGCGACCCCTTACTAAGGTATCTAGTGAGACTTCTAAAGAGTTTAAAGACCGCTAAGATGAATAGGACTCTAAAGATCAAACAGTACGTACCTAGATCTTTGCTAATTGTGTTAGTAATATTCAACAATTACTACTTAGTCTATCTATATCCTAGGAAGTGTAGGACTTCCTTAAGAAGAAATACACTAGTAAAGGTGGGTCTACTGAATTCATGCTCTACTAGGAATATATTACCCTTCGGTATAATAGCAAGGACATTAAGAAGTTCTGTAATAAGTATAAGAAGAAGCTTAGTGCCTTAAAGGAGACCAAATTAGCTATTAGCTAATATTAGGCTGTCTATATATTTATTATGCAAATTGTACCGTTCTACGAGGCTTTCGCATAGATGCGCCGTAAGCAAATGCGCGCCTTAGAATACACTATTAATAACAGCACCCTTAACAACATTATTAGCGCGTTGCTTAATAAGAATGTAGCTCAACTAAACTAGGCCTAATATAATGGCTTCTTTAGTCTTTAACGCTAGCTACAATAGCAAGGTGGCAACAACAATAACGGCCGAGGTAACTCGAACCGTAGCGGTCGTAGTAGCCGCGGAAACAGCAACAATAGTCGAGGCCGCGGTAGAAGCAACCAGAATTAGAATAGTTACCAGTCCAACCGTAAGAAGTGCTTATACTATTAAGGCACTTACCCTTCCGACCGCTGCTACACTAAGTACCCTTATCTAAAGGAGGAAGACCGTCTTCGTCGCGAGAAGCAGAAGGCTAAGAAGAAGCAACAATAGGCGTTAACTACTTAGCAATAGCAGCCGTCTAGTTAGGGTAGTCAAAATGGTGCCTAGGGCCTATATGCGGCTAATGCTACCCTAGGGGTGTTATTAGACCCAAGCTACAATTACGCCTTCACTGCAAACACTATAGTTACTATTAGCGACTAGGTTTCTACGGCTCTTACTGCTAGCACTCGTACTACTAATTGGGTTGTCGACTTAGGTACTAGCATATATATAGTTAACGACCCTTTATTGCTTATTAAATATAAAGGCTGTTACATTCCTATCCGGTTTAGTAGCAATACGAAGCACGCTACGATAGTCGGAATGGCTTAGACTAAGGTAGTTAATAAGCGTAGTATAAGCAGTATAAAGTTGTCTAATACGCTGTATATTCTAGGTCTAGTAGCTAACCTTCTATCTACTAAGAAGCTTGCCGATAAGGGCTGTTTCTATCGGAATAACAAGCGAGTACTGTTTACTGTTATTGACGGCTCTAAGGTTACTGTTGCTCAAACATACCGAAAGAATAGTCTCCCCTATCTGCATATACTAACCTCTAGTCTAGATAGTAAAGTGGTTGCCCTTCTATCGAAGAAGGGGGTGCCTATAGGCACTATAGATGAGTGGCATCTACGATATAGCTATATTCATTACCGTAAGCTACTAAGAATGGAATCTGAGGGTCAGATTGTCATTACTAGTACTAAGAAGGACTTCCGCAACTGCATTGCCTATCGCATAGCTATGTTATACAAGGAATACAATCGGCTGCTACGCGTACGACTATCTACGATCTATCACATTGTCTGTGTAGATGTAGTCACTATTACTAATCCTAGTCTGTTGCAGGAGCGCTATTTCACACTATTTATATACGCTAAGTTAGGCTATCGATACGAATATACTAGTACGCTCAAGTTAGGGGCTGTAGTAGCTATTAAGGACCATCGTGTACATATCCGTATATAGACTAGTTACTTAATCCTAATCTACTGCCTCGATAGAGGGAATAAATACGGCGGATATTAGCTGTTGAGCTAGGCTCGTAATTAGGGCATTATACTGCAGGTTACAGCTCCTTATTCTTCAACTTAGAATGGCCTTACTAAGGTTAGCAATCACATTATATATACGACTGCGAGAAAGATAATGCTATAGGCCAACCTTCTAAAGTCTCTGTAGCTATATACTGTTGCCTCCGCTATACAGGTCCTCAATATTACGCTAACCGCTAACGGAGGAAGCCTATACACTATTGTAGCTAAGGAGCTTAATTAGTTACGAACACAGCTACGCCTGCAGCACCTTCGAGCTTATAGCTACACTACAATTGCCTACGATTACGGTGTTGCTCGTAGAAAGAAGATGGATAGCAGAGGTCTTGTTAGCAAGCTAGTTGGCTATGCTAAGGGCTCTATAGACTCTAGAAAATACATGATCTACCTGCCTAATTAGTACAAGGTTGTCGCTTCTAAGGATGTTTAGTTTATTAAGTTAGATAGTGACCTTCTACTTCCAAATAGCATAGATCCATACACCAATCCTAATAACCCTTCTAAGAGCGAGTTTATCAGTATTGAGTCTATTATGCCGGCTCTATTCAATTCTACAAGCAACGAGGCTCCGTTACTAGCCGACGCCGCTAGTGTAGTCTAGCAGCTTCTAGCCTAGCAAGAAGAGCCTCTAGACGAGCCTGCTTAGGACATAGAGGTAACTAATAAGGTCGCTAGTCCGTTGCCACTCGATAACGACCTTCTAGACGTTTAACTACTAGCTTCGAGTAATAAAGATAGCTTCTAATTAGCTAAGGAAGATCAAGCTCCGCCCTTTAATCCAAATGCGAAGAAGGGTGAGCCTAGCTAGTTGCTAGAGTTTAAGCGACCTAATACGATAGGCGCTCGTTCCACCCGTACAACCCGCAGCAATAAGTTAGCTCGGCTATCTAGCTAATTGTAGTATTAAGCGGTCGACTCGACGCACAATAGCCAATATGCCGATAGCCTATATAAAGGGCTTTATAGCTTCCTACTACATTACTAAACAGCCTAATAAGCCTAAGGAAACTATCCCTATTCCGAAGAGTTATAAGGAAGCGACTTAGTCGCTATACTAGCTACAATAGAAGGAGGCCTATAAGGCTAAATACAAGTTACTAATCGACAACTATATATAGGTATATATATCTCGGTTAGAGGTGCTAGAAGGTCGCAAGGTTGTTCGTAGCCGATAGGTGTTTACTATCAAGCGTGACGCTAATAGCAAGGTTAGCCGGTTTAAGGCTCGTTAGGTCGTCCGTAGCTTTATACAGATCGAAGGACAGGATTATAATAAAACCTATACGGCTGTTGCCAAGCCTTGCACGCTTCGAGCCCTGTTTGGCCTAATTGCTTATCACGACCTAGAGGCTAAGCAGTATAATATCCTGACTGCCTTCCTTAATGCTCTTATTAGCGATAAGTACAAGATCTACGTTAAACAGCTATACGGCTTTAAAGACCGTAGTAGCAAGGGCATAGTTTGCCTATTGCTAAAAGCACTATATAGTCTAAAGCAGTTACTAATACTGTAGTATAAAGAGCTTCGGAAGTACTTAAAGAGCCTGAACTTTATTCTAATAATGTCCGACGTCTGTGTCTTTAAACACGTTGTTAGTAGCTCGATTATCGTTATCTACGTCGATGATATAATTATTATCGCCTACAGCCTGTTAGCACTAGAAGCCGTTGCTTAGTTACTAAAGGACCGTTTCAATATACGAGAACTAGGCGACCTGTACTACTATCTCGGCATGCGGATCATTCGTAACCGTAATTAGCGCACTATTCACGTCGTTTAAGATGCCTATTTGAATAGGCTTAGTAAGAAGTATAGGATGCAGGGCCGTGTAGTACCGGCTACGCTAATAGCGCCTCGATACGTTAAGACATCGATTTAGCGTACACCTAAAGGCTATATAGCTAGTGCCGCCTTTAAGACTTAATATTAGGAGGGTGTTAGTAAAGCCCTCTAGCTAGCTATAATTACACGACCTAATGCTTGCTATACTATAGGCCTGTTATTACGATTTATCTCTAACCCTACTAAAGAGCATTATGCCGCACTCCTTTAGCTAATTGAGTACCTAGTTAGTACCCTTAGTCGTAGCATGCGCTTCTAAGGCATATAGAACGATAAGCTCAACTTTGCTAGATACTATAATGCCTTATAGGCTAATAACCTAGTCACTCGTCGCTCTATAGGTGGCTTCTACTTTACTATTGTAGGCGGACCTCTGTTATATAAGTCCGGTCGCTAGACGCTTGTTACACTGTCGTTAACTGAAGCTAAGTATATCTAACTTACTATAGGGGCTAAGGAAGCAGTTGCCTTAGCTCGTTTATTAAAGGAAATTAGCTATAAGGGCTATATTCTTCTAGTTACGCTCTACGAGGACAATTAGTCCGCTATTGCTATTACTAAGTCGACTAGCATTAATAGCCGTACGAAGCATATAGATGCTCGTGTTTACTATATTCGAGAAAAGATTGCTAATAGTTCTATTGTCGTCTAATAGGTTAGCATATATAATTAGATAGCCGATAGCTTTACTAAGCCGCTTAATAAGATCAAGCACGGCCGCTTTGTTAAACAACTAAACCTAGTAGATTGCAAGGCCGCTATTAAGAATGCTGCAAAGCTAGCTACTAAATACTAAGGAGGGCCTTTGTTTGCTTTGTCTGTTCGACCTAAGAGTAGTCTAGTTTGTTCACCTGTTTCTGCTTACCTAATACCCCTGTTTGCTTCGCCAACAATAGCTATTGTGTTGGTTTGCTTCATTCTATGGCGATATGCACGTGCTAAGGGGGTGACTTGGAGTGTGTGTCCAGGTGTTAGGGTCTATTACGTGCCTAATGCCTGAGGCTGCAACTGCTGCACTTCATCTTCGGACTTCTAGATAGATTAGTCCTTCTTCCTAATTACATCAGTTACATCAAGTTATGTCGCGTCGATGGCGTGGAGTGCTCGCTATGCACAAGTTCTTCTAAGACACAGTGGAAGGATGAGAGGTGAAGTCGATTCCCGACGGCGTGCTTGGCTTGGCTTCTTCCTCGGCATCATCGCTGCTCTTTTTCACTTCTCCGTTCACTCACGATTCTGCACTGCTTCCTCTAACACCCTTCCTCTCACGACCCATAATAAATTGCTCAAGTCCCTTTGACCTGCCTACGGACGGACCGGCAGCGGGTAGAGGAAGGTTATTATGTAGAAGTAAGCGAACGCGAGATCAACACGTCGTCCTTCGGCTCATCAACTACTGAACAGAAGCTCCGGAGTAGAACTAGAACCTATGCACAGGATTGAACTGGGCTATCCTTGCCTCACGATCGAAATGGTGCTCCCCAAATTTAATAATAATATCGGTTCGGTCAGCTCGATGACCCATTCGGCTTTTTCACCCGACTTTCCGCTGGAGAATCAGACAAGGCATCGCTTGGAGCCACAGTCTTATTTTCATTGCTATGCTATCTATCGCAGTCGGGATGTTGTTGTCCAAAAGCCAAGGACAATAATTAATAACAATGGCACCCGCGTTCGGTGGCATTGCAGCTGGAACTCTATCCGGTGTTCTGTGATAGCATATGCTTCAGAAGTAATTTCCGCGAGCACCGGACGCCAATCTCTGGCCTGTCATCGTGCGGGCATCACATCACGAGTCACACGAATCATTTTGCTACCACATGCATGCCACAGCATATCACAGACAAAGTGTTGCAGGGGAATCCAGAATACGAGCGGGATTCCAAATTTCCCGACTGCGTTCATTCGCATTTGCGAACAAACTCCTCAACAAAGCAGAATGCCTTTACAACTCAATCTCAATGGAGAGTCCCGGGAATATGTTTTCTCGAGAGAAAGGGTTGCTCTTGCACCGAGCGACTCCGCATAGCCCGCATAGATGCTGCTCCGCCTCCAGCATTCAGCTGTTCCCGGCAAAGTGTATACACCATGCAAAAGATCTATTCATAAGTTACGAGGTTGAGATGAATGCCCAGGGCGCCAGCTACAGTGGATCCGCGGCAAACCCCGTATAGCCTTGTCATGCCACTGTTCAATCTGCTAACCGCTGCAATCCTGGATTCCAAGGGTGCGCGGGAAACGCATTGGCACTCCGACGCCTCACTGTAAAAGCGTCATCCCAGCCACGGCCCAGGAAAGCTGTCAACAATACGAGGAGTAGACTGTGGTAGGGACCGTCCAAGCGCCATTTGTTAGGCACGGCTTCACATTGTACCTGAAGGGTACCTGCAGACGCCCGCCATTGCCGCTTGGCTATGCTAGTATGCTTTTCGCAGATGCGGGATCATCTAGCCAGCAAAAGTCGAAAACTTGGTCGGTAAGGATAGGATGTCATAAGTACTGCATCTTCCCTGCTCATCGTCCCACTCTTCTTCGCATACATATCTAATACATCTGGACCGCCCGACGTTCATTGATTCATCCAACTACGAACAGTCGCTCGCTACCATGAGGTCCACCGCCGCCACCTTGGCAGCCATCTTTGGCTATGCCGCTGCTCAGCAGGCCTACGGTGCACCGCCTACCGGTGCATCGCCTACCGCGTCCTGCCCTGCAGCAGGTGCCACCGCAACTGATGGCCGCTACAGTTGCAAGTAAGTTGTCGCCGAACTCGTTAATGGTAGGCGGACTCTAATGAGGTCTTCAGCCCAGCACATCAGTATCCGCCGAACCAGTTCTGCTTGTTGAGCGACGGATGCTACTACCTCGTCAACCAGGGCCCAGGTGTGAGCGTATCTGCAAGCGCAACTGCAAGCGCAACTGCAAGCGCAACTGCAAGCCCAACCCCTACTTCAACCAGTTGCCCAGCACCAGGCACCAACAGTACAGACGGTCGCTATTCTTGTAAGAACCTCTCAATTGATCACAAGACATGACGGCTAATGCATCGGAAGGCAACCCAGCACATCAGTATCCGCAGAATCAGTTCTGCTTGTTGAGCGACGGATGCTACTACCTCGTCAACCAGGGCCCAGGTGTGAGCGTATCTGCAGCCCCAACCGCCGTCTTGACCACCGTCTGCCCAAGCCCAACAACCCTCACCTACGGAGGATCGACCGTAAGCAATACTCAAAATCCAAGACTAATACGACTATTGCAACACACATGCTGATGTAAAGCGAATAGTACGCAATCACTTCCGCTACAACGCTCACTATCACGAGCTGCCCAGGTGGTTGCACTGCACCCCCACCTGCTCCAACTTCCGCCTGCCCTGCTCCAGGCGCCACGGATTCGCAGGGTCGATATTCTTGTAAGACCACTATCCCTCCCTCGCCTCGCTAATCCTTCTTACTGACGTGTTTTCGCTTCGCTCAGGCAACCCGGCCCATTCCTACCCAGCAGGCCAAACCTGTGTCTTGAACAACAGCTGCTACTTCCTCGTCACGAGCTCTTCTAGCTCCTCTGCGATGCCATCCACCACTGCAAGGGGCAATGTTACTACCCCTACCAGCTTGCCGCCGCAGTATACTGGTGCTGCGGTGGCTTTCGCTACTGCGGCGCCGGTTATGGCTGTTGCTGCTCTGGGTGCACTTTTCCTGTAGAGGAGTGATGAAGAGAGATGGTTGCGCGGCGTTGCGCGGCGTAAGATGTGGAAGTGGAGGTGGAAGGTGGGAGGACCATTTTTTGATTTGATTGTGCAAAATAATAAGGTACTTTTATATACGCAATGTATGTACGGCATGCAAGCACATCACGATGCAAAGGAACGCCACACACCGCCGCGCAGAGAAGAGATGATGGAGAGATTTTTTAAACCGTCTCAGATGGTATTTCTCGACTGCTTCACTCAACATCACTCAAAGTCCTTCAGGTATAGCAGGTGCGAGAATTCCGGAAAGACAAGAGTGAGCGCAGGCCTCATAATAGCTAAGGTGTTCTCCATGACGAACTAACTAACGGTAGCAGCTTCAGGGAATCGAACGTTAGTGAAGAACAATGGATTATAATGTCGTCACAGCAAGACGTGTAGGTTTCCCGACCGAGTTCAGGAACATCGGCTTCGGATGGAATGAAACAATCATGTATTGAGCGAGCACCGTTTCACTGACCCAGAGCAAACAAACCCGAAAATCTCATTTGTCTCAACCCATGAAATGGCCCCAGTCCGGAGAATCTAAGAATGCCATGAATTAGGCCCTTGGGATGGTTGGCTCCCCAGGGGTGATAGTGCGCACTTCAGCGCAAAGTTGGTCCGGATGCCCGGAGGCTTTATTGAAAGAGTTTCATTCATAGTGACTATTGACGAGTCATGGAGACCTCTTCAGCGCTTGCTTCAGTCCCTGCCCCAGAACATGCTATACCACCAACGCCTCGCTAATATATATCAATGCTGCCGGCAGTCCAGACGGCCCCCGTGCCTTCATGCCAGCTTCACGTTCCCGGCGCATCTGGCAAGCGCTCAATTACATACTTGCCCTTTGCACAACTGATGATCGGCACGCCAGGGATCTTGCGCAGTCGTCTCTTCAGGTCTCTAAAATTCGAGTGTCAGCAGAAATTTCCAGCTCAGGACGCGGCTCGCTTACCTATCATTCGTCGCGACCAAATATATTCTTTGCTGCATTACCCGTGTCACGATGCAATCATCCGCGTAAGTGCCGGTGTGATCGCACTTCAATCGTTCCCACCGCTCATCTCTTGCTATCTGCAACGCGATTCTGTACTTCGGTCCCAACTTCTCCAACTCAGCCATGACACAGCTCGTAATGACCGGAGTACATGTTGCGTATAGCGTGTCCATGAGGGTCGGGAGTAAAGGTAGCTTGTGGTGGACTGTGTGCGAGAGGAAATTCGTGTCTACGAGTACTGAATATGGCGGTTGGAGTGCTGTATTGTGCTGGAAGAACATGGATGACGGCACTTGCGGTCTGCCACCCGTCAGCGATTATTCTTACGGCTCCGTATGTATGGCTGCCAAACGAACATTTCCCTCACAAGCTCGCCAGACTTGTCCTTCTTTTTGCTTTCTTGCTCTTTTTCCTCCTTCAATATGTTCTTCTTCAGTCGCGCATCGCGTTGTCCGATGACTCGCTTGACGGCGGCGAACTTGCGAGTCTTCTTTGCGACCCCCATATTTGCTCCTGTGCGGAGGTGGAAGTCGTGATGTTGTCGATGGCAAGATGAGGTCGGCAGGCGAATCTTCAATTCTTTGCGGCTCTGCGATCTAGGCTCGGTCCGAGGCTTGAGCCGGACCCCGACTACGGATGATCCAAATTTAGCAGGATCTGCGTATATCCCTGTCGCTGTCGCATCCTGGTCTCCTTCCTACGAGTACTTGTGGTGCGACAACATCAGCACTTCGTCTTCGACGCTCCTTCACTCGCTATTCACGATTAAGTCTTGCGAGGAAACAGCATCAGCACAGCATCAGCAATAATTTGAGCGCAGACGCCTTGGCAGGGTGAAAAGGGGTTGTCCTGGTCGGCATTGGTTGGGAGGCGAAAGCAAAGGTTGAGTCCATACACAACTGCCAATTGCTCGACAAAGGATCCTGGTCCAGCCGCCAGTTGGCATAGCAGCATACCAGAGGACGACTCCTGCTACAGCGCAACTACATCACATAGCGAGATTAGCATATCATTACCGCGCCGATTCGATTCTTCCCACCCCGACGAGACGGCGCCTGCAGACAGGCTGCATAACACTCGTTACACCACCAGCATCACTGTACCACCATGGCCAGGAGTTCACGGATACTGCATGCTGTCGCATCGTTGGTGCTGCTGAGTGCGACCGCGGTGCATGCCCAGAATGACCTTCCCAATCTCGCGACCGTGACAGACGCAACCACAACCGCCGCGACAACAGCGAAATCTACGGGCGACACGACCGCAGCGTCGACGACGGGACAGACTACGGCGGAGAGTACAGGCGACACCACGGCCTCAGGCACAGGCTTCACGGCTACGGCCTCCTTCCCAGATGCGACAACAACTACCTCGTCTGGCAGCGTTTTCCAGCTGACAGGTCTGCCGACGATTGCAGGTGTTGGTGTTCCTAGTCTTGTCATTCCATATACCGCCAACGCGCCATTCATGCAGAAGTCGTCTATGCCGGAGGGCACAGTCTTTATTGCTATCGGCGCTGTTCTCGGCTTCATGGGCGCGTGCGTGCTGGCATGGCGTGCCCTCTTGGCATGGAACATAAACAGATCCGTGAAGCGCGCAGCAATGGTTTCACTTCGTGGGACGGAGAAGTCTGGATGGCGAGGAAGCTACGCGGCAGGCGCAGGAAGCCACAAGAGCACGTTTTATAAGGATTATGATCCGGGCAGCAGCATGTCTCTCGACCATCTCACGTCTACCGGCAAGACTGCGAAGCCCGGTAAATATGAGGATACAGGACACAGAAAGTCCTCCGCCGCCCCTCCGGCCGGACTCTTCTTCTCGCCCACTGCCCAACAAGGACAACGGCATAGCAGTTTTGCCATGGACGGAAATCGCGAATCAACATATCTGCCTGCAGGATACTATGCGTCTCCTACAAGCGAGATTGCTGGTGGCAGGAACAGTACCGTGATCGGAGGATCGTTGGCGCCTTACGCCCGTAATAGTGTTATTTCGCCTTCGCCGCCTGGGTCGCCGAACTTGCCTAATTCGAGATCGACTTCGAACTTCTACGGAGGTGGAGTCTACTCGTCGAGAGATGGAATCAGGAATAGTTCGAGAGAAGGATTGAAAGCGCCGCCCAGTAGAGATGGTGAGTTTTTCACTCCCAGTCAGATCCAAGAATTAGCCTCTTGCTAACATCTCCTTAGGCCACGCACCCTCCCGACACAGCAATCTCTATCCTCAACCTAGCAGCTCAAGTCTAGCCGTTGGAGACAGCACAAGCGATCTACCCGGACAACGAGCTCCCAGTCAAATTCTGGACGAAATGTTCGATAATCATGGAAATGGCCCCAGGGAGAGATTTTGATGCGTCGAATAGCTCTTCTGGCGCCCCGAGCATATACGAATGAATCCCAGGCGGTGCCAAATTATGCTTGCATGATGGTCAGGACACATTATGAAGGGTTTGTTTTGCGTTCAACAGGAGCATTAATGGAGTTGAGCGATTAATGATTACTTTTGTGTAAGTCTGGCGGGTATGCATGCATGCGCAAAAAACAAAATTCTTTATCGTTTGAGAGGAGAGGAATGAATGCGAAAGCAGAGAGAACTCGACAGTTGAGGCATGCATAGTATTGTTGTTACTTTTCAGCCTTCTGGTCTCATGAGAGCTTGAGATGGAAGGATGGATGGACAAATATCAATTTTCGATTATACGTTCGTTCGCTATTCTTAAGTTCTCAATGAACAAGTTTCTTGAGCGCTGCTGCTGCCAAATTGTTGGTTGGTATATGAGTTGAACATGCCTGCGGATGTATTTTTACTGCTGATCAGCAGTGGCAAATGCAAGATGGGAGGTTTCCATTCCCGAGTGAGGTCCTACGCAGCAGGGAATTGAACGGGCCATCTCATCTCATCCAGGAGAATCCATTATGGGTATAATGAACCATACTGTGCAAAAGTATATTCCCATCATCCAGCTATCTAGCCAGAATCCCAGCAACCAGCTCCGTATCTCGAGCGTTCTTTAATATCACAACTCCTCAATCCCATTCACCAAAATCTCCAATACCTCACTGGCATCCTCCCCCTCCAAAATTCTCCCCATCACCTTCCCCAAATACCTCAACTTCCTCGACTTCTCCTCCTCTTCCATCTCCTTACTCTTCCGCCCCGCTTCCTCAAGCAAAGACCTAGGAAGTCCCGCGAGGCGAGCGACATTGAGACCATAAGATCGATGAGCCACGCCTTCTCCCACTTCATACAAAAACGTGATCTCAGCACCCTCGCGTTCCGTGAATTTCATGTGAACGTTCCGTAACTCGTGGTTTGGAAAACTGTCGGCTAAACGAGCGAGGGTTTGGTAGTGAGTGATGAAAAGCGTAAGACATTTTTTCTCCTCAACCACGTGCTGAAGAACGGATTGCGCGATCGCTACGCCGTCGTGTGTGCTCGTTCCTCTTCCTAGTTCGTCTAGTATCACTAGTGATTTTGGCGTGGCTTGTTTCAGAATATCTGATGTTTCACCGACTTCTACCATAAATGTGCTTTCGCCTTTCATCATGTTGTCGTGAGCACCCATGCGTGTGAAGACAGCGTCGAGTAAACCCATTTCGCAGGAAACGGCGGGGACGTAGGAACCGATTTGTGCCATAATGGCGATGAGGGCTACGCTGCGGACGTAGGAGGATTTGCCGCCCATGTTGGGACCTGTGATTAGTAATGCGCGGGTAGCGGAGCTGGAGAGGGAGATGGAGTTGGGGACGAAGGAGTCGAGGAGGAGTTGTTCGATCATTGGGTGGCGGCCAGCTTCGATGCGAATTCCTGGGGAAGAGGTGAAGGTTGGTTTGGTGTAGCCTGGTTGTTGGGATATTGTGGCTAGGGAAAAGAGGCAGTCGAGGAGCGCGAGGGATTGGATGCATTCTCTGAAATGCGTGTATTTCATTCCAATTTCAGATAAGAGGGAGTGAAAGGCTGTGTCGCAGGCGTTGGAGAGGGATTCTTTATGTTGATCTCGTTCGCGGAGGAGTTTGACGACTTCTGGTGGATGGAAACGCGAGAGCTTCTTTGTGGAACTGATTTTCGTCCATGTTGCTGGTACGTTATTGAGTTGGGTGTTTTCCAGTTCGATGAGGTAGTCGATTTCTGCGACTGTGACGTAGGAGACTTGTTTCCGTTTCAGAATGTTTGCGGCTGTGGTTTTGAAATCGTCGAGGTCGTGTTCGACTGCTACGATGCCGACTTTGTGGTCGGTGATGTCTTCAGTCTCGTGCTCGTCGCGGAAGAAGTTGTATTTGTCGTTCTTTTTGGCGGCTTCGAGATTCATGCGGCCGAGGTAGTCGAGAACATCATCAGAAATGCGTGGGAGTGAGGAGATGGCTTCGTTGAGCATGGCAGATTCAAAGCCTGCGTCGGCTGCAGTCTGGACGTGAACGTACTCCTGCGCGATAGCTTGAAGGTTTTGCAGAAAGGCGAGAAGCTCCGGGCGTGCACATCGTTTGTAGTAGATGCGTATCAATGTCCGCTCGAGATCTGCCTTGGTCTTGCTCAAGAGTTGGCTGATTCTGGCAACACCAGCAGTACCCATGCCTTCTCTCAGCTCCTCGACTGCTGCCACGCGCTCGTCTAGTCTTGCGCGATTGAGCAATGGCCGGCCGACCCATTTTCGCAGCAGCCGTCGACCGAACTTGGTCTGCGTCCGGTCAAGCGTCCAAAATAGACTACCTCGTTCTGCTTGATCTGTTTGATTGCGGTAGATCTCCAGACTTGATAGAGTGTTGCCATTGAGGAGCATGTGAGATCTGGCGCTAAAAGATTGGAAGCACTTGGTCAGATCGAAGACGTGCTGCAGGCCATAGTCTGTCAAATGCGTGATCATAGCTGACAAGCAGATTGTGGCGTTTTCGGACAGTCGATGCACTTTGTCTAGGAGAGTTCCTTTCCCTTGCGATGACTCTACTTGCGACGAGCTCGGTCCATCGGTTTTCATTTTGTCGGCATAGAACTTGGTAATGTGACTGTACGATTCTGCTGCCATAGTCTTGGGTTTCGGCTTTCGTTCTAATCGAGCATCATCGCCACCGGAGAGATAGTGGACGAGCTTATCTGTCGCTTTCGATAGTTCTCCGATGACGAGGAATTCAGCAGGAGAAATGTGCAGCAGTCTCGTCTCAAGCTCACTCCTCATCCAGCCGTCTTCGAAGTCGTCGTAAATTATGTCTCCGGTTGCCGGCTGCACAGCAATGAGACCAATCTGCACCTTCTCATCAGAGCCGACACCCTTTGGATAACTTTCAGTCAGGCAAAGGAGGTATCCAGAAGCCGGTGCACCTCCAGCAGCTCCAGATGGTGCTCCTAGCCCTTCCTCATCGTCAACATAGGTCGCTTTTGTGTAGAGATTGGTCAGGTCACGCTCGAATAGCTTGCTCTTGTTGGCTCCAGCTGCTTTCAGGGCGGCAGTCTCGAGCTGGCGAACGATGCCAACTTTGTGACCGGCATTGATTAGACGTTTCACATGAACGTGCAAGCGATGTGTTGGAAAGCTGGCAGATGCAAATTTGGTCATGTGTGCTTCTGACGGATGTTCGTCGAATCTAAACTTGCCTGGTATGCATACCACCGACAGCACTTTGGCAGCGACTCTTGCATCCTCACCAAAGAGACGATACTTGTAGCCGACCTCTACGACAAGCAAGGCGTCGGAATGTTTCCGCTTGAGCTCTACGATACGTTGCTCGAGCGGCGTAAGCTTGGCCTTGCGCGATGTGGGAGCTTTCCGGCCCTTTTTGGGCGCAGGGTCATGCTCTTCGTCTTCGGCATCCTCGTCATCCGCACCTTCTTCTTCTGCTTGTGTCTCTTCGGTGATGAAGCCATTTCTGCGCTTGATATCGGCTATACTGTCGGCTCTTCCCAGCTTCTTGACGAACTTCTGGTGCAGTCGCTCTTTCAACCTGCGAGTCTCCTCGTCGTCCACTTCATCCCGGTTGACTTCAGTCGCCGCACCGCTGGAACTGCCGAATGCATATTTCGATGTTCTTTCAGTAGCCTTCAGCTTTTTGCCACGATCGCCAGAAGCATCTCCCGATGGATCTCCGTGGCCATTGAGATCTGTCCTCCTATCGTCGCTCTTCGGCCGCTTTGGGTGTGGCTGCTGTACGTCTTCTTCGTCGATCTCGTCAATATTTCGCTTGGAGGTAGTCGGAGCTTGACGTCGATCATTTGCTTGATTCTCGTCATCGCTTATGAAAAGGCCATTCGTATGGTCGGCAGGAGTCATGGGAGACGGCCTGAGGTCTCTGACTTTGGGCTTCGGGGGGGCGGTCGAGGTGAAGAAGCTGGAGATCGACTGCTGCTTTTTCGATTGCGATGATTGCTCTGCCGACGACGGAGCTTTCGCCGACACCATACTGGCCAGCGGGGCGTCTGCATTTGGCAGGATAATATTTCGCAGAAAGTGGTGCAGCAGCAGCAGCAGCAGCGCGATGACGTGAAGTCGGTTCGGACGCGACCTCGACGCGACATGATTAGTAAGACTTTTCTACCCAGCACACGACGGAGTGACCCGACCTCACCTTCACCATCGATGAATTGTCATATGCTCGCCCCACAGTTCTCCTCGACCTCCTGCGAAGAATCGCCAACCATTCTCTGCCCGCCATGGCTCAGTCTCGCCAGCTTTGCATGCTCTCATTCCGCCATTCGCTTGACTACTGGCCATCGGGACTCATTCGATCACCGACGGTATGCGGAAAAGCACACTCGCGGGCACACCAGGCCACAAGAACGCGGCATCCAAGGCGCTTTTATTCAACAGAGACAGAGGCCGCCGGAGCAGCTGCTGTGGAGTCGGCACGTCAGCTGCTGCCACAAACTATTTCACTTCTGAAACGGAGTACCGCCATTGGGGCGTCGCTGCGACGCAGCAGGCTGAGCAAAATGGAGAGACATCAACAATTCTTTGAGCACATCTGTGGGCCGCCATCAGCTGCCGAGCAGCAGATTGCAGTCGAGCTCGACAAGCCTGCTGTGTCCGCTCGTGACGTGCTCCTGCGCTGCATAGCCAATGAAGAGGCAACAGTTCGGGTAGTATATTTCTGCATTTCGACGAGATGGAAGCAAATCAAGTCGCTGCCTCGCCGTACGCGGCCCGACTTGCGTTCAGAGATATTGTCTGAAAAGCTTGGCACCCATGCGCTCCATCACATCCTGCGAGACCTCAATCTTTGGCTGGTTTTTGCAACCGCTGGGCTCGATATGCTTCTGCCGCTCTGCTATCTCGTCATCATCGAAGGAAATGAGCGCGCTCTCAGGACATGGCTGGACGTAGGCGTTGATGTCCCGCAGTTGCACGGGTGCAACGAGCATAACTGGCGGGGAAAGATCTTCGGAGGTTTAGTCCACGCACATGCTCATCTCGACACCACCCTTTGTGCCGACCCAATTCTCAAGTGCCTATTCGAAGTCATGGCGGCCTTGGGAACCCGTGATTCCCTCGTGAAGGCGGAACCATCTGGGAGGGGCTTTACTGTCCTTGACTGTGCAGCTGCGCTTACCATTACGAAACAAAACTTGTGTGATCCTAGGAATCCTCGTGGATGGTATAACACTGATCCTGGACTCTACGAGAAATTCACTGCCCTGATTGCACGCCGTCAAGATCCGATCGCTAATGCCCAACTTGATTTATACCATCCGACCGCGCCTAGTGAACAACAAGTAATGGCTTTGGCAAGAGACTACATGACAGCGGGATCACGTTCTAAGATATATGACAAGTTTCGGGAGACACACAAGGCCCGAGCCATGCGAAGCATTCGTCATATCTTTGAACGTGCTGCCCAGGTGGCAGAGAACAACGAAAATAGTGCCGGTGCAGATTGGCTCCGGCGAGAGGTGCTCACGCAGTTCGATCGAGATACTAGCACCGCGAGAGATCAAAGCAGACCGTCCGAGGACTCCAATTCGGGCACTGCTTCTCTGCTGAGGCAAGTCCCTTTACCACAGTTTCGCCGAAGGGAACTTATTGCTCCAGGCTTTGTCAAGCAAGCTACATCTTCAACATCAGCAGAAGACCTGCTTTCTCGAGGGAAACAACACAGCAAGGCGTCGTTTCACAGCCTCATTCATCATGCTAGCGATCCAAATATCGCTCGAACGCATGCTTTCGCAGGTCCAATGAATCGCAGTCCTACCTACTGCCAATGATCAGCTTTAGGCTTGGTCTCAGAGTCAGCACTTTACTATACACACCAAAGCTGCTGATCGCATATACCTTGATTTCAACACAACGCATTACGAAGTCAATCAGGCTTGGATTTCAGAGATTGTGGTCCACCAGAATCATGATGCGAGCAATAGCTTGACGGCCTGGGAAGAGACGACACGACTCGTTCATCTGCATTCGATGTCGCCAGGGCTATTTACACATTTCCCCGGAGGACGGCTTGGAGATTGACATGCTTAATCTGCCCTGACGCATCTCCGATGACTGTTCACATCACCTGGCGTCTCTTCTTGCGCTGTGGTACCAAATTTCAGCTTTGTGGACTGGGAGCCTCGGTCCAGCCTAACAGTGCCGAACATGCCTGGTCAACCCCGTGATGAGTGCCATTGATCACATCATCGCTTCGTCGCCGTCACTGGCCTTCAAATGAAGTCTCTGCGAGCTCAGCTTCTGGCTCACTCTCTTCCAACAGGACCAGTGTTTCTTCGAGCATTCTGGTATGCAGCTCTTCCGGCCATTGTTTCTCTGATCATGGGAGTAATCTCGCAGCGGGCACCCAGAAAAGTAAATATCATGAACTATCTCACACGCCAATGCTGTACATGTCACCTGGTCATTCAGCCAGCTCTCTGTGTCTGCCGCACGACATAGACTGAAGCGCTCGCTCCTCAACATGGTCGATGGCTTAGCTCGTGGTGAGCTGGCCTGTCTATCCTTCCATCCATTCCGGCTTGCGCCTCTTTTCCCACTCACCTCCTGGATCGTCATGCTTTGATCTCTTTCTTCTAGTTACTGGCCTAGTGGTTTTTTCATCGCTGCCATCTTGCTGAAAGGGAAAACGAGTTGCTGTCGCTGTTGCAAAGGAAGCATCCGTACCAGTCTCAAACGGAGACGCCTACGACAGCCTACGAGGCTGGGAAAGGTCGTGGAAAGGCCGCGAATGGCTGTGCTTGGTGGCGCCATGCCATTTCTGGGTCTGATGTTCATGGTGTTGTGTTTGGACCACCTTGCCAGTATCTGTACTATTGCTGGGACTAACGTCATGAGAATATTGCAGCACTTTCGACTTCTTGGGTGTCTCAGCTTCCTTCATGCCGTCCACATTCGATGACAATCGATATGGTTCTTCAAAAGCCTTTGGTGACTGGTTCCGCAGAACGTTGGAGGCTTCAGATGAGCCATGAGTCTGGCATTTTCCTGCCTGCAGTGGTAGATCTTTGTGGTCGGGGCTGCGGGCGTGCAACTTTCCTGTTTTGGCGCATACTTCTGTGACAATATCGTCCACGATGTTGTATCTCATTCCTGGCCGCGGAGCGCCTTTCGCGTTGACCTCTGCCGCGGCAGCTTCGGATAGGCTGCCTTTTTTGAGGGCCAAATCGATCAACGACTGATCGTGGCTGTTCCTCTTTTTCCGGTGCAGGATTCTCACCCAACTTTCCTTCGTCGGCCCATCACTGAGCGGCTTGACCCATTCATCGTATTGGAAGTCCTTATTCCTGAGATCCAGGATTCCATTCTTGTTTCCGATGTTTGTGCCGCTAAAGAAGATTGCTGTGTCACAGTGCTTCGGAAGTTGATAGGAGGCGCCTTCTTCGAAAATCGCCATAAACCATCCTTCTCATCGAGCGCGACTCCATTCATGCCACGGTCATCTCTGAATTCGATGATACATCCTTCCCAATGATCTTGGAGGGCGGCGGTAGCAAGTACTTTGTACGCGTTCCAGTATCCCGGAACACCATCCGGCGTGATAACACACTTGACATCGTCCACGAAAATCCTTCGGGACTTGCATCGTTCCAAGCGAAAAATCAAGTATGATTTTCCGGGCACAATGCGGCCTTTGTTGATTTCTGCGACATTACTGAAGCCTCCTAAATTGTGAGCGCCCGTGTTGTAAGGCGCCCTCACATTGCAGGTAAGCGTGGACTCGACTGCGACCGCATGATATGTTTTGAAAGCGACGACAACGGCCTTTGATCCTTTGCATGGTCCAAGGTCTGCAATCTTGCGACTCCGTCTTTCTTGCACTTCTCCGTCCGCAAACCATCGAGGATCGGCCTTGCGAATGACATCGATGAACCATCGTGGTGGGCGACCAGCTGTTCCTTCGTCGAACGCTCCCTCATGTTCGGCGACTGACTCGACTCTATCAGCGGCATCTTGAAGGTGTGCAATTGTGTCCCTCCAAGGCGGCAGGCAGCGGAATCTGTCGTAAAGTACGCCGTCCATGGTGGTCAGCAAGCGGCGCGCTTGTGCTGCTCAATTCATCAGATGTGGACCTGCAATGAATACCGTATGTTGCTCCAGTCTCGAACTCAGAGTGGAGTGGACTCCCGCTGCCGCGGACGGGAAGAGCGGAGCGCTTGGACCTCATCACGGCGGAGCGGGATCAGTTTCGCAGACGACAGCTCGGCCAGCGACACCCCGTTGTACAGCCGCTTACTGCGATGTTTATCGCGAGCATTGAGGCCGTAACGCCTGTCAAATGTCTCGTACTAAGATGTCCGTTAGGGAGTTTCAAGTTGATATACCCGAGTGACAACTCAACAGTACCATGTGGGCTGTGTCCAGACACAACCACGTCGGTTTTCTCTAGTAGACGTTCATGGAGACGCAAAGGGCGTTGCGGGATGGGGTTTGGGCGCGGCGAAAGCGATCAAAGGCCGGATGATAGGAAGGATGGGCTCGTCGAAACGTATTGGTATCGGAAGAGAAGGAGAAGTTGGAGTGAGAATGAGGAGGCGTGATAGATGTTGCCCATGCTGCTCGACGAGACGGCTGGATCGATAAGCCAGACCCCTGCCGGCGAGACGTCTCGAGTTGTATCGTGTCAAAATGCAATGCTCCAACGGAATCGAGAACGTGGTTCCATTCAGAGCGCCTGCAAGACCAGAAAGGTCGTCCTCATGTACCTTCAAAATCTCATTAGATATCGAGTCTCACACCAAAGCTTGTCTTGCGGTATTTGGCAACAGACTCGTTAGCCGATGCCGATTGATACGAGCCACGTTTAAGGGCCGTGTTCTGAGGTTGGCGAAGGTGGTAGAAAGTCGTTAGACAAGAGCGATCGATCTTCTTCCACCACGAAACAATCCAAGTTTCTGTTCCGCCGTGCCCCTGCAAGGAATGGCTCCTGGGCAAAGAGGCTATGACAAGGCTTTGGAACGGCGTCTCTTGGCAGGCTTCGCAAGCTTTCTCAGCGTATGATGTCAAGAGATAGCTGCAACGTCGATGCGCCTCGTTGCTGAGTTGTCGCCAGGTCCATCTTCTTGGCGGTCGCATGTGCGTTCCTGCGATGTCAGCGGAGGGTGCTTGGCGTCTCACAAATCACACAACCCGTGTGCCCATCACGGTGCTCACAATCCGCCGACAAAGAGAATCGTGCAAGCTGGTACTGCGGAGTATCGGGGGCCTGGTGCTCATGCAAGACCTGCCACGGCCCACGGTACAACTTCGCCAAGGCACGACTTGCCAAGCTGCCGAATCTCTGAGATGAAAACATCTCAAACGTCTTGCTGGTTCAGATCTCTTGGCTTTTTGCTATCTTATTACCGCCCGCTTGGCTGCGCTGGATGTCCGTTGCCAAGTCAGTTGGGAGTCGAAATAAGAAGATACCAAGCAGTTACGGGACGCGGGGATTTTCATTGAGTTCTTGGCGGCTTGGCCCGAAAGTCTTGACATTCCACAGCCGGATCTCTCCAGAGTCTTCCATTGGCTGCGGCACTTTTAGACGCAGATGCCATCCCTGCTGCGGAAAGAGCTTCCATTCTTGGCTGCACCTCTCAAGGGCTTGGTCTTGGTCACATGGCCTCTATATCTGCCTTGTTGTGTGCGACGCATCTCTCGGCCTTATCAAACATCAGCTTGGCATGTCTGGCGTTCCATCCTCCTGGGAGGTACCAGTTTGTGGAGACGTGGGAGCTTGCTAGTCTACTTGGGAGCCTGGGTTTGGTGTCACATGTATGATGCTGATATGTATAAAGGCGGTAGCCCCCCAGAGGTGAGAGCAGTCCTGTTCTGCATGCATACCAGACCACTTGTCACACCAGGAATAAGACAATCTGCACCCCACCGCACTCCCGACTCAACTTACCAATCATCGCGAATAATAAGGCCGAACACAAAAGTAACATGTCGGGCCTTTGGAACAAGCAAGCTGCAGCTCAACAATCCCCCGTTCAACGTTTAAGAGCGGGCTTGGTCCCTGGCACCTGGCTTCAGCTTGCACCTTCCACCTCTCCCAAGTACGAAACAACTGAGAAGTGGCTCTCTCTCTCACCATCCCCATCTCCATTACCGTCACCAGCCATGGCCGCTGCGAAGGGAACAGTCGTCGAGGAGCTCTCACTATCCCCAAAGCCCGGCAACTTCTTGAGCAACGACATTAGCAACGGAAGTGCTGCCACCAGCCGTACTACAAGCATGTCCGGACCACGACCAGTCGCCGCCGTGCCAGCCGAAGCTTCACTGGAGTTGAGGAGACTTCGCGGATCGGACGACGGCGAGCGTCTCGCTCGTTTCCTCTCGAACTGAAGGGAAGACAACTTCCCACGATCAACACCTATGAAAGCAAACCCGACTCCACCGAGCCAACAACTACCTACCTCCCTGGGCCGAGCAGAGCACCTTTGACTACGACGACCTATGGCCGCCCACATGAAAAGCCAAAAACGCTTCAAGCATCACTTCGCCGAATGGCAAACACCCTCGAGCTACCAGACTGATGAGTGATGGAAACGTCGGATGAATACGCTTTGTCAAAAGCTCGATGCGGCGTGGAAGGGAATTGAGGAAAACACTTCTTATTTTTATTGTTTGTACGATAGCGTTGCATTACGTCCGCCAACGACGTGAATGAAGTTTTTGCTCGAAACTAGCGTGTTTTTCTTCTCGGTCGTTTAAAAGACTTTATGCTCTCTCGTTATGTCTTTACGTAGGCCTGAAGACTTGTTCATGCCTGCTCGCGACGCCATTCCCGAGACTTTAAAGGCAGTCCGAAAATATATAGAGAGAGTCCGAGAATCCGGTCTGCGACGAAGAATATCCCATTTCTCAAGCTCCGCTCTCCCCGCTAGATACAAGGAGATCGATCGCCGCATCGCGTAGGCGGCACAGTTTTGCCAAGACCTCGATCCCTGCCCCATCCGACATCCACCAATGCCAAAAGCTTTCAATCTGCTTCTTGTCGACATAACGAACCGTACCATGCCCACCAGCAGCTAACTGCCACCGCACGAAGATTTGCAAGCCCTAACCTACCAGACTTTCACTTCACCGAAGTTGAAGAAAGCGCAACGATGGGTCATTTAGACCAGGAACCGAGCGACAAACTGATCAGGCTGTGCGGCATGGGACTTGCTTGCAAGCGGTTCGGCGTCATACTAGGAGAAGGTAACGGGGTCAATCATATGCGGGTGGAGAGTCTTGGCGCGCAATGGACTCGATGCTGCCAGCGCCGGCGAGGGAGACGTGAAAGACATCGGTCGAGAAAAGCAAAGCTTGGGAGTGGATCGAATGCGAGACTTTGTGTTGACCAGTGTCTGAAATACTTGACATGTGCTGGGGCTTGTGTATCGGCGAGAGAGATCCACGGAATCAAGACCTCAAGCGCCATAGGAAATTTTTAAGCCTCTCCCATGCCTTCATCACCAGAAAGCCACAACACGAATATCAATACTCTCCCTCGGCTCATCACTCGTCGCCGCATCCCCAATCTCAGGAGACCCATGCCAAGGCGCAGCAGCATGTTTCGCATCAGGCCCCAAAGCAAAACTATCAAACAACTTAACAAACAGCACCTCATCCGGTTCCTGCTCCGAAACATAAAACCATTGAATCCCCTTCCCCCTCCTCACCTCCCCATCCTTAACCCCAAGCATCGTATACTCCTTCAAGAAATCCCCCCTCAACTCCCCATCCCCACGAATCCTATTCTCATAAAAATAATGCACGAAATCTTCCCCCGTCGTCATCATCTCCCCTTTCCCCCTCGGAGCCAGAGCGAGCGGATCACGCCCAACTTTCCGCAACGGTCGCCAGATACTATACGCCGCATACCGAGGCCCAGCATACCTCTCCGCAATCGCCTGATCAGAATCTTTCGTCACCGGATCCGCAAAAATCTCATTTTCGGCTTCAAAAATCCCAGAACGTTTCGCAACTTCGTAGATCTCTTTCTTCTCGAACCGGATCGTTTGGCGCGCGCCTAGAGGCGTGGAGTCCATGTGCGGGACGCGAACGGGTGCGGCGAGTTGGAGGTTGGATTGTGTGGCGAGTTTATGCTGTGGGGCTTGCGAGATGGATTTTCGCTCGGTGGGTAGGTGATAGGTTTCCGGAGCGCGTTTTCCTTGGCGGAAGACGCTACCTACGATGAAGACTTCTTTGCAACCTAGTGTCTTTTTTACGAGATGTAGGATTTCTGGGTGGTAGGTTTCTGAGATGGCGGAAGGGGAGAGGTCTTCGCCGTTTAGTTGGGCGAGGAATGTGGAATTGTGTTTTACGACGCCGAAGCCGTGGCTTTGGAGGAGTTGTTCTGGTGATGTGCTGGCCAGTTTCGGGCGGATGTCGTGTAGTGGGTAGGTTCTTGGGACGAGAGGTTTTAGGGGTGGTGGTGCGTTGTAGTTTCTTTGCCAGGGGTCACTGTTTTTTGTTTCTGATGTGATGATTGGGTGCATGAATTCGCCGTAGATGGTGGCTTCTTCTTCGGTAGAGCCCATGGCTGGTTACAGTGCTTTGCGAAGGGAGAGAAACGGTTTGAGGGATGTCAGGTATTGCTGAATTCTGCTTCGGATGTGCATCTAGATCTTAACGTTAACCTGTTGGGGATTTTACAAATCTTGTACTATCGAAGTCCAGCTCTCAACTGGAACTTCGGCATCAGAAAGTCGATCCGTTATCATCACAGCTGGTGTAATACTGGTATATAGTTCGGAGGGAAAACGATTGGACCCTTGAGGCGCCGTTGACGCCGCAACCAAGAGAGTTGAAGGATTTGTCGATCACCTAGAATCTCTAAGCTTCGCCAATGAACTCGCCAGACTCTTCTTTGCGACAAGCTCTTCGTGCGACATCGTGCAGGTGGGCACGAATGACTGGACAGGAACTTGGCCAGATGCTTTGGCCCCATTATTGAGATTTGGGGCCCTGTTTGCAGCTGATCCTCAGCTCCTGCACCTTCGCCTCGACGTGCGCCATTCCTTGAAGATCTTTGAGCTAGGTGAGGCACCGTCTTGATATGTGGCGGCTAGCAGATACCTCGTACGCACTATGATGATGGCAGGAGACGGAGGCAATTGAAGCCAAAGTACGATACTGGCGATAGGCATCCAAGCCTTCTCATTATCCATCTTTCCAACACATTCAGCAATACCTTACACACAGCAGATTCCAAGATGTTGGCGCAGAAGTACGAACCACTCCGCCAATCCTCTCCAGAACTTTCGAAGGAGAGCAATGAAGATGCGAAATGCCATTATTGCTACGAACGAAAGCAGGAAGCTAGACGGTCTTTTCGGACCGTGTCAATACTTACCGCACTCCTTGTCCTTTCAATCGCATGCAACGCCATTCTTTTCGCAAGGATACAGGACGTGGAAGAGCACGGTCACGACCCAACTTTTGGTCAGCATTCCAAAACTTGATCCCGCACACCACACTGACAGCAACGACAGTCGGCCTCGAAAGGAATCTCAACCTAGAAATCCCTCACGATGACCGAGCAATAGACGACCCAATGTGGGAAAATCCCTCATACGACTGGAACCTAGGCTGGGTCGCACTCGACAACGAAGTCGCAAAATCCAAAGGCATCCCAACAGCAATGCACTGGCCTTGGGACGACTCCAAGAGTATCTACGTCTTGCATGGCTTTCATTCAATTCACTGCGTCGTATGTCGACTCCACAACTAAAACCTTGGATGTTAAGCTGACAATCTGTAGTTCGTCCTCCGCGACTCACTCATGCAATTCCGCGACGGCAAGCAGCAGACCTGGCCCTTCCCTCACGTCACACATTGTCTTCACGTTTTGCGAGAAGATACAACATGTAATGCCGATGATACACCGCGATACACCGGTCGTTTACACGCGCAAGAGAACAGTACGAAATTCTTTTCTGGAATTGGACAGATGAGGAAATGTAAGTTCTCAGCCTGGTTTCTTTGCGATGACTTGCGACGTGGACTGAGATTTTTGCTTTTCTACTAGGTCGCGATTGGAGTCAGTTACGGGAGTTTGCGATTCAGAATTCGGCGTGTTATCGGAGACCGTTGGATCACTTTGTGCCGTTGCTTGAGAGGTATAAGAATTGTCCGGATGGGAGGAGGCCGTGGGAGGGGAGTGAGTTGGCTTGAGGAAGGGTACAGTATCCGGGGTTTCGTCAGTCACACTTCACCCCGCGGTCGCGGGGATTCAAACCATACGTAAAATCGCACTTTCTTAGTAGGCCATACGTAAATCTCGATATAATCGTACATTCCAGTCCTATTCGGATATCCAGGTAGGTGCAGTAAGGAACCGCGAGTCCAAATATTATATATATAGCCTTGTCCGAGTGTGTAGTAGCTATAGACCTTACTACCGCCGTTTTCTTATATAATCCTTGGCAGGCGCGTCTACCTTAGGCGCGTACCGCGCAATAGAGGCTAAATCGGGCTATCGGCTAAGAAGGTTAGTATTCGCGTACTCTATAAGGCCGAGAAGAGAGGTCCTACGGTCGCAATTTAGTTACTAATATACCGGAAATCTACTGTTTCTTGTCTCTTATTCTACTTATGTTTAGTCTCCTATTATATATGCTCTACAACATTGCTATCGTCGAGTTTTACGTATAGCCTACTAAGAAAGTGCGATTTTACGTATAGTTTAAATCCCTAAGCGCGGGCGAGGGGTAAAGTAGGCTAACGCAACCCCGGATAATTTAATCGAAGCTAGATATTTGCTAGTATTACATGTCCGAGTTCCTTGCTAGTTAATACTATAACGACTTCGTTTAAGCTAGGAATATCTTCAAATCGCGCCGTTCTATTATTTCTCTTATTAATACATTACTATATATCTATCCTATCTCCCCTTAAGACCTCGTCTTAGCATTGTCTACTATCGTATAAGCCCCAAACTCCTAGACTTGTAAGATACACTTAACTTACCCCTATTCTCAATCTCTACTATATTAATTATAGTATAATCCTCCGAGTCGTCCCTCCTTCTTATAGGTACAGAATTATTATTATTCGCAATCTCAACTATATTAATAATAGCCGTGTCTTTAATGCTTCGTTTTTCTATAGTATTGTCTGCGAAAATCTTTAGTTAGCGGATTTGTCTATATAGCGAGATTGAGGGCTAACTCTGTCTCTACTTAGACCCTACTAAGACCGCCGGAGGCAAAATCCTGCTTGCAGGGTCTAAAGCTAGAATGTTAGAGCCTACCTACTTTTCGGTTATCTTAATATAAACATTATACGTAGTATATATTATAAAAATCTAGTTAGTACGATCGATAGGGAATGAAAAGGGAAGCCCTTTAATGTAAAAATCTTATAAATACGACGTTATAGCGTTAAGCTATATCGATCGCAAATTAGTTACCTTAGGAAGCCCGTCCTATCGAGAGCCCGGTCGACTAACTCGATATATCGCATTGTATAACCTACGTATAATATTACTCTTATCTTAAAGAGCGTACAATTTTAAGTATGTTTAGTATAGAGCGTAGTACTATATAGTGTTATAGGATTAAGGTATTCTATATACGAAAACGCTCCTTAAGCCGGCCTAAAAATACCCGATATCGTTTTAGCTAACATACCTCTAAGACATATGCTATTCGATAGATTATATAATTCTAAGCAGAAAACATATAGCAATAACTATTATACGACGTTATAGTGTTAAGATATTGTCGATACGCCGAAGCTACTTTTAGTCGGCCTTAGCTAGCTTTTAGTAAGGGAATATCTAGCATTTAATCGCGTATTCTACGATATAGCAATACTATATTAACCTATTACAGGGTAGATTAGTGTTATAAAGCATTCTATATCGATTAGTATTAGTCTTAGATACGTATAGTACTGCTATATTGTGCTATATCGACAATAGTAAATGTCTTCTATAATACCTTAAACTATCGCGTAAAACGTGTATTCTATATATGTATATAGCGCGTAGATATAAAGGTAGTTCGATTAATGTTACGGAATCGTATACGCGTAGTTATTGCTATTATTATCGCCTTGCTACTTGATTAAGTTCCTTTACTTAAACAAAAAAAGTAGGTCTAGTACTAACCGTCTACGGTAAAGCCGCGCCCTCGCGCCTTCGCGACGCGTCTACTTAGTTCTTCCTCTTCTTCCTCTTCTATCTAGTCTATCTCTTCTATATATATAGTACGCTATACTATGCCGGACTAGTACTCTAACTTATTAAAGAAAGACCGCTAGAAGGCGAAGGCGGCATAGAAGAAAGTAGAGAAGGCTGCTACCGCCGCCGCCGCTACTACTACGGCATTATACTAGGAGCTAGGCTATTACGATACGGACGTACTACTAAGACGTACTCGAGTCGCTATTAACCGATACTAACTAGTATTCGAGGTTGCTCGCTATCTAGAACTGCTAGCGTCTAACGCTAGCCTCGCGACGTAGTAATAGTACTTCGAAGACCGCGTTAATATAGTCCCGGAGTATCTCCTCGAGGAGGTCTAGCGCCTTATATAGGATATCGCAATATATAACGAGGCGTAGTTTCTCTAAGAGCGTATAATCTAGGCCGGTCTTCGCAAGGTCCTAAAGTTGCTATATCTAACTCGCGATACTAAGCTAAGCCCGTTCTAGGTAGATGTCCTGTAGTCGCTAGTCTTTAGCTAATAGGATGTCTTTATAGTCGCTACGACTAGTTCTAGAAAGACACTAATCTATTAGGCTTTTGCCCTTCTAACTAGCATAATCGTATAGTAAAGCCTACCTTTAACCCGTATTAGCGACGAACAATCTAAGGACCTCGAAGAAGCTGCCCGTTAGTTGTTAGCTATAGAACAAGGCCTGTTTAATGTCTGTCTTATTATAGTAGAGAGCAAGAGAAAGAATCCGTATATAATCGACGAGTTAAAGGTAGGAAACTATTAATACATCCTATATAGCCTAGAGCAGGCTATTATACTAGAGTTCTAAGAGGTACTCTAGGTCCTTGCTCCTCGGATCGGTTTATAGGCACTCGACGAGGCTTATCTCTATTATCGCTAGTTAAGCTTCCGGCTAGTATATAGCAAGATAGCATTGCTCCGGGATATCCTTAATATTAACACTATCGCGGTAGCTACCTTAGCAACGATACCGCGTAATGTAATCGACTATCTAATCGAAAGCCGTACTATACAGAAGCTCGGAGATAAGGCCCTCTAGAGTATTATCTAGCGTACTAGCATCGATCGCCTAGATACGACGTACCTCTTTTAGACGATACCGAAGGGCAAGCTAAGCTTATTCGATTATTAGTATTTTGTCCTCCGCTTTGCCGTTAATAAGAATAGGCTAGGTACTCCTAAGCTAATCTAGAAGTCTTTAATCTTTATTAATAGCCGAGCTAGTATCGATAGGGGCTGTTTGCTTATACGAATATAGTTAATCTAGCTTACTACTAATATTACTAACCTAGACCTTGCGGATAGGAAGTATACTTAGACAGGTGCACTAATAGTTACCGGAGGAAAGCGGACTATCGACGTTCGCAAGGTCTATTCCTTCTATACTATATATATCGCTACGGTCGATAAGAACCTGCGGTATAAGGAGTTTAAGAAGGAGGATTCCGAGATCCGGATTATATAGGGCACACTAGCTACTACGATAGGTACTAATATTCCTAATATTAAGATCGTTAGCTAGTAAGGCCTACTAATTACTAAAGATCTCCTCGACCTATATTAGAAGCTTAGTCGTACCGGTCGACTTCGAGGCCTCTTATCGATAGTAGTACTATTCCTTCCTTATTAGTTTAACGACGGTTAAGGACGTATATCTAAGAAGTCGAACTATCGGTCGATAATCCTACGCAACCTATTATCTATAACGGCGACTACGACTATCGCACTATACCGTTCTATATATACTCTAGCGCGACTAAGTTAGCTTCGTACGAATACAGTCTCTAATCTAGAGCTAGAGATTGTCCTAGGAGATAACTTCGACGATATCGACGAGTCGGCTTTCGATAGAGTAGATATACTTAACGCTAGTATAGACCGCCCTCCGCCTCGTACTCGCCTTTACGATAATATAGAGAACAAGTTCTATAATATAGTCGACGATATAATCGTAGATAACGTTAACTAGAACAACTAGACGAAGACTAAGATAGATTTGCGCGAGAAGGCGCTAGAATTGTATATACGGTTAGTAAATGCACGCTATTATCCTATAAAGAGCTAGCGCCAATGTATAAGAGCGGTTAGAAACGAATACCTTAGAGAAGATAAGTATATATACGACATTCCGGATAATCGTAAGGTCTAAGGTACTAACCTATACTATAGCATATATAACCTAGGGCTACTTAAGAAGAAGTTAGAGTAGGAGGAGCCTCCGCTAGTACCTCCTACGATAAAACGACTACGACAAGGTCTACTATAGGCCTTCGTATTGCTATTAATCGCCGAGTAGGTATCTAATTAAGCTAATTGTATCTTTAGGGACGGCTACTAGAGCCGCGTATTCGATATGCCGGCTAATGTAATAGTACCTAATTAGAAGCTATAGAACCTTTATAAGGTCTTTAAGCTAGCTACTAAGGAGGAATGTAGTAAGATCGATAAGGAGGTAGTAAAGCATAGGTCTCCTACATTTATAGCCTAGTACGAGGAGGATAGCACTAACGAAGCCGACATTCCTCTAGAAGAATTGATTATAGTATTAAATTAGATAGTAGACGAGGTATATACCTAGCGCTAATAGTATAAGGCTAGGGCTACGAAGGCTCGTAAGGATCGTTAGACAAAGAAGGCTAGTAGTGCGACTATAACTACGAGCCGTATAGATATTAAACAGGCGCCTAATACTACGAGCGCGCGCTACGCCCGGGCTAAGAAGCACTAGAATACTTCTTTAGTAGTAGCTCTTGCGCTTCGAAAGGATGTAGCCTAGAAGAGTAGTAAACTATCTCGAAATGCCGTATCTATAATACGTAGGGATAGATTAGACACACTAGGTATACCGACTGAATCCGATACACTATTAGCTAATGCACTATTAGCTAAAGGCGTTACTAGACCGCCTTCGTACGCTACTGTCGTAGCTACCGCTCTACGACTACGTCTAGGTCCTAGTAAGAAGCGTATAGCTAGTACGCTTACGCAAACTCGAACACTAAGTTATCGTACGGTAGTACCGCTTCTCGTCGTAGAATAGATAATAGTATACTAACTCTAATAGGCCGCCGTCGACCCGGCGATCCCGAAGACCCTAATACCTTTAGTCTAGACCGTATAACTGCTATATAGGCACGCGCTACGTAGGATGTAGCAGTTATATCTTCTCCT